ACTGCTCAAGCTTTAGGAAATAGTTCAGGACAAGAGCTCTGGCAAAAAAACAGAGAAAACGTGATGGTAGGAGACATACACCTTACAAAGTAAGGAACAAAAGAAAAATATGAGCCAAAGAAAATTTTGAGAGTTTCTGGTGGGAAACCAGCAGAATCCCAGGGCCATGAAGTGTATAAAAGTAGAGTTGCTTGATGGAAAAAAACAAAAAACAAAGACAACACTGCTTTTCAATCACTGTAAGTATGAAGATGGGGACAGAGGAATATTTCAATGGTTTTTCCCCAGTAGGCAATTGAAATGTGTGGAATATAGGCTGGAACTGAAGATAAGCCAAGTGCATAAGAATAGCAGTTCTTGTTCATGGCTTCATATCAGAATCAAGTAAAAGACTTTTTATAAAACAGTCATGCTCCAGGCTAAGTAAATCAACACCTCTGTTAGTAAAGAACCACAGATTTAGGTAAATCATGTTAAAAGTTTAGAAAGGTAAAGAAGAATGCCAAGAACAAAACATTGAGGGACACCAATATATGGAACTGAAAGAGAAAAAACAGCCATGAGCAATCGAGAAAAGGAAGCCATGGAAGAGAAAACAGAACCTGGATAGGACAGGAGAGGACAAAGGTATAAGAAGTAAGAGGTAAATAGTGTCAATAGTATAGGGAGGTGAGGGAGAGTCAGGGCTGGAGATGTGTTATTTTGATTTTGATTTGGTTTCATAGGTTTGTGGTAAAAGTAAATTTTGTTTGGTTTGGTTTTTTGGTGGATTCCTGTAATGCCAGTACAGAGGGAGGCTGATGCAGGGGGATCACAAGTTTGAGCCCAGCCTTGGCAATGTAGCATCTTAGCAAGACCCTTCCTCAAAAATAAAAAGAAAAAAAGAAAAGGGCTGGGATGTACTCAGTACTAAGGCCACACACAAAACACTGTCTACTTGTGTTCAAGTGAGTTAAAATATGTGCCTGAAATGGAAATAATTCAGAGGCCACAGATGGTTTTTAATAAGCTTCTCTCTCCATTTCCTCAGTTACTGAAGAATTCCAACTGTTAGTGACAGAAACATCTGGTCCAGCAATGTCAAGATTAGCACAAAGGAGAATGAAGGAAACTGAAAAACTAAAGAAGCCTCACCTGTTTATTTTGTCCTTTATTCTAGTACACAAAGCAAGAGATAATGCCTCATTTGGAGTAAAAAAAATCTTATTAAAAGCAGTTATTACTGTATAGATAGAATTAATAACCAATTGCTCTAGGTCACTTCCATTCAGCCAAAGGCAGACGTTAACCATATGAGTCAAATTCTTTCTTTTTCAAAACACCTATATGCATAGTCAAACACAAAACACAAAACACTCACACACACACACACACACACACACACACACACACTGGGAAAAAAGTATAGAAACCTCAAAGGGTGAATACAGCTTAAAAAGCTGTAAGTTGAGTAGAAGAAAAAGCTAAACAATATAAATACTTGGTTAGAGTCTGGCAGTTGCTAAGAAGGAATTGTTGCAAAAAAAATAAATTGTGCAGCCCCAAATATGATACAATTAATAAAAGAAATGAGGTGAGATTAAGACCAGTGAATTCTGAGCTGATTATAAGGGGAAATTCCATTTTAATAATTCCCCAAACAATCTTCCCAAGTGGAACAAAGGCACAGAAACCACCACACTGAGGGACAAAATGAGATAATGTATGCAAAAATACTCTGGAAACTACAGATTGAGCTACATATGTGATGAACTGCTATGATTGTTGTTATTACCTCACCCAGAGCTAGGGAGCAAAGGGCATTGGAAACAAGTCACATGCCAGACCAACATTCAGCCAATACCTGAAGTCTTTGTTTTGTTATACTACTGTCCTAACCAAAATGAGTCACTTATTCATGTACTGACCACTAAGACACCATGAAATTATGGTATCATCAAAAACTACTCAACCAGCGGTACTGGGAGTGGAGGTTCATTGATTTCCCAAGGAAGCTTTTGGCTGTGAAGCATTAGCTGGCAATTGAATTAATGGTACGATTTCTTTGCAGGGCTGGGAAGTAGATAAAACTCAATCAGGTGTTCTCATTTCAGATTTGCACTAATGATTTTTTATCTTACCCCACACTGTCTTCATAGTACCCAATTTATCAAGCAATCTAGAATAGGTGTGTCTCTGAAAATATATCAATAAGAACAGTCCATTTTCCCCAGAGCAATCCAAAACCTATCAAGTGCTCCATCTTTTCCTCAACAGTCAGGGAATAAATACTCTAAAGGAGCAGAGCAACAGACCAAGGGGCATTTGCAAGAACAACCCAAGGTCATATCCATACAAAAGAACAGGGAGAAAAGGCCCATAAGCTGAGGTACAGGTTGAGATCCTGCTCCCAAAATATTTCTTGCCCTTAAAAGCAAAGCTGAAGAAAGGTGTAGGACTTGACAGGGCTGTGAGATAAGGTGAAATTGATAAATAAGAAGCATATGATCTCATATGTAAATACACATTCTGACAAGCTAAGAGTCAAAAGGGAGTTGAAGACTCATCTTAGCAATTGGGAGGCTGAGACAGGAGGACCAACACAAGTTTGAGGCCAGCCAGCTTTACAGAGTGAGTTCCAAGCCAGCCAGAACTACATAGTAAGACCTTATCTCAAAACAAACAAAGAAAACAACAAACAACAAATGAAACTCATCTGAGTCCCAACTGCTTGTCATTCAATAGAGAAATAGCATCCAACTCTACATGCACTCTTTTAGTAATAGGCACCTCAGTGCTCACAAGACAGCACATTCCAGAATGGCTTATTTTTTTCTTTGGCCACTGGTTAAAATTTTCAAACCATCAAGTAACCGAAAATATACAGACATGGAATTCTAAAAGGATTCTTTAAAAGAACCTAATTCCATTGCTTTATAACCCAAATGGGGAAACCGAGGCTAACACTAAACCTACTAGGTGTCTCTTTCCAGAAACACTCTGGTGTAGGATGTAGGTAGTATTCTCTCTCTTTTTCAGGAAAATGGATGCTTGAAGTAATTCAGTTTTTCTCACTTGACTTACTACTGATACTAGAGGCAGGTGGGAGTAACAATTCTTTATTGTATCAAGCTAGTTAGCACTAACTGCTACCTCACAGTTTGTGTAAAAAAAAATACCACTCCCACATATTTCTAAATGCCCTATGGGTATACTGATTCTGGTTGGGAATGTAAGGTACATAATGTGCTTAAGATCCCAAAGGGCAGGTAATTAGAAGACCCAAAACTTAAAAATAGCCGGGTCCAACTCAGAAGGGTGATCTCGTTTCTAATGCAACATCCACACAGGTGGGATTGGAACGCCTAGCTTCTTAAAGTCTAAGCCAACCCCAAGAGATTCTGGATTTCTCCTTCTTCCTTTAATCCCACATAATTTATCAACTCCAAATTTCTGAAGATTCTTTTGTGATTCCTTGTTAAATGCACTGCCTCCTTTCCACGCCTGCAGCCACCACTTCAGATCCAGAATCCTGTACACTCTCACCTCTTGTGTTTTCCTATTTCAACTTATCTGACTCACATTTACCAGATTTTTTCTAAAGTATACATCTGACTTTTTCTTTAGCTTACAAACTCCAAATCAAATTAAAACTCAAGCCTCCAAAGTTTTCTGTAGTTTTCCACCAATCTAACAAGTTAACTTTAACTTCCACTTTCCCTAATTATACTCTAAAATTCAGCACAGCGGGTGTTCTGTTCACATGCTCTGACCTTCCCTCCATTCCTGCAGTTTTTCCTGTTGTTTTCTCTGCTTAAACTGCTTTCTCTCCTATCTCCACCTGTTGAAATTCTATCTGTTCTCCATGATCCATCTTAAATAAAATAGTTATTAATCATTGGGTGCTTATTTTGGGCCATCCACTATACTAACTGTGTGTAAATATTTTACATGAATTATCTCATTTAATCCCTACAACAATCCAGTGAGGTAGGTGATAGTATTTCGTCTTAGAGTTAACTCAAAGGGGAGGAAGTGATTGTATTTGTCCAAGTTACACAATAAATGTTGGGAATGGCATCTGGAGTCAAATAGTCTGGCTCTGGAGCCCTGAGAAGTGTTACAATTTCAAGCACCACTCAAAAACAGTTTTCTGATTTTCTCTAGCTTGACCTGATATGATCCTTACTTGACAATCTCAGAGCACTTTGCACCTTTAAAATCTATCTTCTGTTATATTTACTTGTGTTCTTATACCCATGATGAACCTGTTTGGGACCAGTGATCACAACCTGTATCTTAGGCATCTCACTATCTCACACTTGATGGCACAAAGTAGGTACTCCGTAAGTCTGTTAAATTGAACAGAGGGTATGATGGGGTAAGGAGGGCACAGGACAGTTATCTAGGGAAGATGCTCCACACTTTCTTACCCCAGCCATCCTGTATGACATTGGGCAGAGCTGCCAATACCTGTCCAAATAAGACTCTGGGATCTGCTTTCCCAGCCTGGTCTCTGGCGGATCTCTTCTTGTACCCCAGTTCTTTCAGCTGCCTGGGTCTTGGCCAATGTTTGGGGTGGGGCAGGATCAAAATATCACTGCCCTGGGCTCAGCTTCCAAGAGTGAGGATCAAGTGAAATTCAGCTGGGTGGGTGTGGGAGTGGATTGAAAGCCCCCATACAGAGTCAACGTGCTGTTTACACAAGTCCTGACTTGCCTAGGGAACACTTGGGTGAGCCAGCAGTTCAGCTTCCCTCCTGGGTGTTCCACATGTCTTAACCCTTTTCCTTTCTCAGCTAACTCCCAGCCTCTTTCTTTTCTTTATCTCCCATCCCCAGATGCGCAAGGCAGTTGGACAAGTACAGGCATGTTCCCAAAAACCGTGCCTATACAGGGGAGAACTGTCTCATCAAGGCTCCACGGATATCAGCCTAGGTTCTTGGCACCTCAGACAGAGCCTCCAGACACAAATGGGTGGACTGACCAATAGCCACGAGACACTTTTCCAGCCATTCTTACTTTTTGCAGCACCATGGCAGGGACATCCTGACCTGATCCTTTCTTTTCACCGCTCCCAGTCCCCTTGCCACACCAGGGGTGTTCCCACATTTACCCTGTAATGAATGGATAGATGGCTTTTACTACAACAACGGGATTCGCAGGAAAAGAAAAACACACTTAAGCACAGACTAGACGTGCTGCCCAGCCCCCGCCCCTCAACCCCAACCCTAAACACCACACTCACAGTATAAGAAATCCGTTGCAATCAAAGCTTCACTCCACTCATTTCACAAACACTTGTAGCAACAACTTATCAAATCCATCCACCCTCAATCCTTTTCATACAATGCCTACTTTCCTCTTCCCTTTAGGCTCCCGGGACTGCTATTGGACTGCTTGGTATGTGTAGGCGTGGCTATGCAAAGAAGTTCCACCCTGGAGAGGGACACTGTGAGTCTTGGAGGTAAACAGGGATCTAGCTAGTAGTGTGGCAGGAGTTCCAAATCTCCTGAGAACTGAAGAGAAGGCAAGGGAGCAGAGAGCCAGGGAGTTAGACCCAACCCAGTCTGTGGGAACAGGGGGGTAAGGGTCAAGTGGTTGGAGGCCGCTGAATGCAGCATAGCTCTTCAAAGTTCTGTGCATGATTTAGCAGACCTGGAGTTTGACAGGAAAAATTAATGTTAGAAGAGTAAGTACATTCAGACACATGGCAGGGGGGAGGTGGCGCTTCCCAGCTCTGGGCCTGCTTCTACCCACCCCCACCCTTGCTTTCTGCTTTCATAAAATACTCATTTCTGCAGAAAAGTAGGTAGGATTTTGACAGGAGGAAGAGAAGAGATGTGAAGCTGGAGAAAGACCACTAAAAATGAAGGGAAACTGAATTCTGGACTTGACTTGAACTTTAAGCAAACCTTCACCTTCTGTGAGGCTCTGGGTTTCTCTGTGTACAAGGAGGAGATTGGATTACATAGTCTATAAAGGCCCTTCCCAGGACAACACTTTGAGAGTATATGTCTATGATCTTACAGGCAGCAGTGGGGAAGTCCTGGAATGTTGTGCCTGACCTTAAAAAACTTGCAGAGATAAGACAGAGAGGACACAGAGAACAGTACACAGTATAGAATGAAAGGCCAAACTACGGGGTACAAGCTAGAAGAGAGTAAGAAGCAAGAAGAAGAACTAAAAATGAAAGAGAGAGTATATGGCCAGGGAAGGCATATGCTATTCATTGGATTGGGAAGGCTCAAAAGAGGTGGAGGAGCAAGTAGCACTTTAAATGATAAAGAGAAGCGATACTTGAGCCAAGATATAGGAGAAGGAATCAACCATGTGCCATGATTAGACTGAGGGTCTGCACCTGACCTAGGTAGAGGCTATAAAACAGAACTTCAGTGTAGGGTCTCAGTACAGGGGCTGGAAGTCTTTGGTGGAAAAGAGCTGAATAGGCACTGAAGTGACAGCATAGGTCCTGAGTTAACTCTATTGCTGTTAAGGATTTGAAGAATTTATACACAAAATAATGTTAATATGAATGAGGCAATTAGAACAATGTCTGGGACATAGTAAAGGCACACAAGTGTATGTTAGATATAAATAAATAAATACACACATGTATATACTTTAGTGTCCTCTGGTAGCATCTGTGAGATGAAAATGAAGATAGCTACCCTGTAAACTTCTTAATTCTGCTCTGAGAAGGCAGAGGAGGGACCAAAAAGAAGACCCTCATGTTTTCTTTCAGAAAAGGGACCCTTTCCCAAAGGAGAGGCTATCAGCTTTTCCTCCATCTTATGTAATCCAGAACAGATGGGTTATAGACAGTTTTGGACACTAGGGCAGTAGAAAGAATCCTGACTTGGGATTTGGAAGTCTAAGTAAAACTAACTTTATCTCTAAAACCAAGTAAATCTCCTTATTTTAGCCTCCTTTCTTCATTTGTTACTTGAAGAAGTTGTTGGACTAGATGATCTCAAAACTCTAGAGCATTGCTTCTCACAGGTGAATGTGTACATGGAATCCCAGGCATTCTGTCAAAGCCCGGATTCTGATCCAGTAGCTGAGGTACAGTGTACCAGTGAGTAGGGTTAAGGATCTCAGCTTTGTTCTCTATCAGAGAGCCATTTTGGCCCCATGTGCCATTAGAACTGAAGTTGGGTAAGGTCATTTCTTGGGTGGAATCTCCCAGCCCCTTTTTGAAGATGGGCATGAATTTTCTTCATGAACTCAAACAGTATAATCCCAAGAGATGGGTTTCTTTGACTATAATTCACTGCTGAAACCAGCCTAACCTGACAACAGGATAGACAGGTGTAGTCTCCCTCTCTTATTTCTGGGGCCAGAGAGCTTCTGCACTGGCCAAGTGAGAGATTTGGGGTACCCTACTGTGAACCTTTAGCTCTTCTCAGAAATTATCTAAGATCACTCAAGGGAATACTGGCCTTGTCTGGGTCTCAAAGAAGCCTGAACACCCTCTAATTCTTGGGTAAAATGCAGGCAGGTTGAATTATTTCAGGAGATCTCATGCATCTTCAGTCAGACTGGGCCCTTATAGCCCTTCTGGAGATTGAAAAACGAGAGCCGAAGCTGAAGTGCCAAGGGATGCTGAGACCCATGGGGTAGCTGATCTGGACCCCAGTATCTCTAAGGATGACAATTACTAAAGGTTCAGTTTCTTTACTCAGCTTGCAACATGTATAGATAAGCTTGGCTATAGATGTCAGGTTAAATGGAATTCTTCTGGATTAGAAAGTTGCATATAAGAAAGCCACTCCTAGCTGTGGAATTTGTTTTTTCAAACATCAGTTGAGTTTCAGCGCAATTCATTAGTCTTTTCTCTCATCATTAATCATCTTACCTTCCACTTGTCCAAAATATTTCAAATTCACTCTTAGCCAAGCAACCAAACACAGCCTTCAAACTTTTAGCAGACGGTTTCATTTCCAGTTTCACTGAGAACATAAAAGAGCAAGAGACTTGAACTTTCTAAATAATTTCTGACTTCTCCACATTCAAGCTCATCCATGTCGCTTACCAGAGTTTCTTCCTATTTCAGACAAATCTCTCTGAGTTCCTTCCTCTTGTCTGCTTGACTTTCTTTTTCTTGCATCTTGGTAATATCTCTTTCTCTAGATCCTTCCCCTAACCTCTGATTTTTCATTCTTAGCCAAGATTCTAGTGGCTTTAGTTATTAACTTTTTGTCCCTCTGCTATGATCTGAATATTTGTGTCCTCCAAGGATTTATATGTTGAAACCTAACCCAGGATAGTAAAGTATTTGGAGGTAAGCCTTTAGGAGGTGATTATTACACAAAGGCAGAGACCTCGGGAATGGAATTAGTGCTTTTATATAAACCACAAAGATCTGTTGTCACCTCCATTACACGAGGACCAAAGAAGGTAGTTATCCAGGAAATGGGACTTCATCTGAAATTGAATCTGCTGGCACTTTGATCTTGACTTTCAGTGTACAGAACTGTCAGAGATATATTTATATTGTTTATAAACCACCCAGTTTATGACATTTTTCTTTAGCAGCCAGAACAGGCTAAGACACCCCCTCCCCAACTGATTTTTCTGTCCTCATTCAAACTTTAACATATTAGTCTACTTGCTTGTCATTCCTTCTTGTTTGTTTGGTTTGTTGTTATTGTTGCTGTTGTTGTTTATCTTGACTTACCCAAACCCCTCTGCCTCCCTTACATACTGCTTCAGCCAGTGTAGGCCTAGAAGCTTGGCACACAACAAACAACTAAAAGGCCCTGCAACTCTGAATCATCTACATATGTAGTTGTTGATAATACTACTTCAAAATAATATGGGGACATAGCCCTTATATCTCAATCTTATGTTTTACAGTACTGGGAATCAAACCCAGGGGTATTTCCCACTGAGATACATGCAAAGCTCATATTTTAATTTTTTATTTTGAGACAGGTTCTCATTAAGTTGTCCAGGCTGACCATAATTTCAGTGATCCTCCTGTCACAGCATGCTGAGCAGCAAGTATTGCAGGTCTATACCACTACACCCGGCCACATTCAATCTTTATAATTTTATACAAAAAGCTATGGTTGCAAGAGCTAATGGACATAGATGAGAGATTACTGTACCTGGTATAACATAGAAATAAGATAATGAGAAAATGGTAGGAAAGAAAGTTTCACATTATCCACATCACCTCTTTCCCAAGTCCAGGAAGCATGTTGTGGAGGGAGATAACCTGTATGTGGAAGAAAGAGAGTGAAATGAGCACCAGAAAACCTAATGAAGTAAAGTGAACACTAGGCAAGACCCATGATTCCTGGCTGGTACCTGCACACTAGGACTAGAGGCTTTTTCAGATGTGAGGTGAGCCCCTGTAGCATTAGGCACCAGGCTAGCCTCTGTGGTCCTAGAGTTTAAGCCCATTCTGAACCACATGGGCCTCCACAGGCCTAGACCTCAGGCTAGCACTCACAGATTTAATCACCAGCCCATCCCATCCTCAGACTGGTCCCTGTGGGCCCAAGTTTTAGGCCTACCTCAGCATCAGGCCAATCCCCAGAGGCCTCGGCTCCAAAACAGTGTTTCCGGTTTAGAGGTTTGGACTCCAGGCCCACCCCAGCCTTCAGAGTAGTCCTGGTACCAGGAGAGTTCTCATAGCATCAGACTCCAGACGAGCACCTGTAGACTCATCTTCCAGTCTTGCTACAGTTTTAGGCTAGCACCAAGAAATGCAGGTCCCAGGTCAACCTCTGTTAACTCTAGGCTCCAAGCAGCCCCCCTATAGACCTAAACTTCAGGTCTGCATATCTAGGATCCAGGCAGAATCTCAATAAAACTAAATTCTAGGTACATCTCAATAGGCTTGAGGCTCTTTCTTCAAAACCTAGTTGACAGGTCACCTATAGCATGGGTGTTATGGCTTGTATCTAGATGTCCCACCAAAGCTTCATACACTCACAAGTGGGGCTTTACAGAGGTGGCTGGATCTAGGGTATGTGAATACAGATTAAGGGGATGTGATAACTAAATTAGTCCACTGACTGGTTTAGAATAGTTCTGGATGTGGATAATGGGAAAGCTCACCTACAGTGTGCATGGCACCAAACAATAGGCTTGCAACCTAGATAGGCTAAAAGGTAAAAGAAGGCTTGCTGCTTCCAGCTTGTCCTGCCATGGACTGTTGGTTGAATTCATAGATGTTGTGGCCATTGGTATGTGATTCCAAAAATACAGACAACAAAAGGAAAAATAGACAATTGGGATTGTATCAAACTGAAAAGAAAACAACAAACTGCTAGATCATCTAAGGAATAGGAGAAAATATGTCCAAATCATACATCTGATAAGCAGTTTATATTTAAA